TAAAAGCATACATCAACCCCACGGTAAGTGAAATGATTGGATCGACAACTTCTGCGCGTACATAACGGGATTATGTAATCGGATTAGCAACGCCTCACTTATTGTCAACAGTTTTGCATTGCAGTTACGTAACAACGGTTTGAAAGAGGAAGCGTTGTTTTGCAACTGATGACCCCGGGTTACATGTGACCGCCTGATTACTGGGGGTGGGTTGCGTCATTGACTTCACCAATCACTTTGGGATGTGTTCGGCCATCCGCCGTGACAATTGACGGTTGATTCTGCCTATGTATGCGTTACCGCAACTGCAGGTGAACTGGTATACAGTGTGTGAGACAGAACTGGATTGCCAACCCTGTACACGTTTGCCCAAATCGATTCCACGAGTAGAGGTAATGGGCGGAAATTGAGCAGCTGGGAATGTGCGGTTGAGAGCTCACTTTAACCGTCGGTGTACATCGTTCAGAAGGTGATCACCCCCAAAAGAAAGTTTGATGTAAGCAGCCTTCTGGAAAACGGTTGGCGACGGATTATCCTTTTGTGAGTGTTTACTATGAATATCAATGAATCTTTCGGGGTAATCGTTTTGTACCAATGTTTTCTTCAGTAATTCTTCTTCTCGTAGTGTTTAAGGAACAAATGCTTCTGGCTGGATGTAACAGAGTTTTTACGAGTCCATGTTTGTAAGCCGTGGGCGAGAAGCTGAAAAACTGTAGATGCTGACCACTCCATGTTGCTTTTCTCTGGTAAAAATGATATAATGTACCATCTAAGCGTCTCCTAATTCTAATATCCAAAAATGCTAGAGAATCGTCTGTTTCTTCTTCTTGAGCTAAGGAAAGATGTGGATGAACAGAGTTAAATTGTCTCAAAAGGGATTCGAAATGTTCACGTTCCGTAAGCATAAAAATATCGTCCGCATAAGATCTGTACAAGGTGAACTGGGAGATATTATTGGCAAGATTTTGTTCAATCATTCCTAAAAATACATCGTCTGGAATTGGGCCTAATGGACTGCCCATGGCTACGCCATCAATCTGAATTTCCTTGCTCTCGTCCAAGTTCAAAAACCCTGGACTCTTCTCAGACAAACTTTGTGTATGCAGACATCGCCATATCACAAACTCGTTCGATTTGTTTGTGGAAATTCTAAATCCCGCTCGTAAGTCTTTAACATCCCATTGTTTAAAAGATTCTTTTGAACCTTAAAAATGCTCATCAAATTTGACAATATCTTCGTAGCGGATGTATTCGATAAATGTGGATTCTCTTTTCACCAGTGTTCCGTTCCATGACAGTTGATGTTTTATGTGATTTTATTTCTTCGGGTAATTTGCCCTTGCTATCCTTCTTGAATACTTAAGAAAACTAATACTTTTATGTACCAAAAACATTCGTTTTGAACTCGAAAGAGCCACATTCAAACAGATTGATGGCGTAGCCATGGGCAGTCCATTAGGCCCAATTCCAGACGATGTATTTTTAGGAATGATTGAACAAAATCTTGCCAATAATATCTCCCAGTTCACCTTGTACAGATCTTATGCGGACGATATTTTTATGCTTACGGAACGTGAACATTTCGAATCCCTTTTGAGACAATTTAACTCTGTTCATCCACATCTTTCCTTAGCTCATGAAGAAGAAACAGACGATTCTCTAGCATTTTTGGATATTAGAATTAGGAGACGCTTAGATGGTACATTATATCATTTTTACCAGAGAAAAGCAACATGGAGTGGTCAGTATCTCTAGGTCTTGATATGATGGATAAAGGGGATTCAGTGTTTCATTTCCTAAATGTACTGGGGCTGTTTTACAACCTTTAAGTTTTTACTGCATTATTTACAGTCCGGAATTTGCATTGAACACCACCTAGAAGTTCTGTTTGGATTCCGTGAGGAGGTTAACCGGACTATTGATAATGGAATCATGAATAATAATCTTGACCAGATCGGACTTTTCATACAGATAATTATATCCTAATTTTGTGTGAGAAAAATGCAGGTTCATATGATAATCGAAAGGAGGCCAGCATCAAAACTAGCTGATAACGAGAAAATTAAACTGCAACAGAGGTGCAGAGTTCTTAGGCTGAGAAAAATAACAAAATAGAAGTGACGGATGCATGAAAAAAGGTACGATTTGAAGAGTTATTATAGTTTGCAAAACTACACTGAACAGCTGCACTAGTTGTACCTAACCTTTACACCAGAAATTAATAAAAATAAAATAAAGAAGCCAGGTACACTGCTGGCAACAACAATGGATTTATTTCTGGTGAAATATATAGCAACTGAATGTCTGATTCGCGCATTAGTTCAGATGAGTAGGCATTTATAATATCTAGATAAATAAATGGCTGCTTAAGGTAAATCACTTTGGGCTGCATTGCGAACGCCTCTTACACAGCATATTGTTACACACGTCGTTGTTCACAAACAGAGCCTTCGACCGATCACATCTTGAATCGCAAGACAGCAGGGCGGTGTGGAAATAGCAACCACATGGAGGAAAATGTCCAGTTCATCGGATCGTACACCCTTTGAGCGGAGTCAAACGTCTCGGGTGAGCAATAAACCTCACAGCCAAGTTGACTTGGTATCAACCACCGCAGACAGGAATATGGTGTGGTTCGCGCCCCTTTTATCGGCTGGTTTGAAATCAGGGGTTTTAATGAACTCCCCTAGGTGAACTATCATTGATTAGCTAATCTGGATGTCGGCTTTTCGTTCTCTCACTTTGGTGGAAAACGACTCAGCAACAGCAATATTGTGAGTAGGACTTCCTTAGCAAAAGCTATTCGAAACGGTTGGTCGTAAAGAAACACTTAGTGGGGTGTAACGGGAGGGTGACCAGCTTTAGACCGAGATGTTCACCCCATTAATTCCTTCTTGATAGCAACAAGAACCATTTCGAATTTCTAGGGTGCAAGCATTCATTTCAATTCTTCTTCTTTAGCTGTGACTTCCTCATTGTTTCTGATTGAAACACCTTACCACGACATATGTAATTGATAAACTCAAATAGTTTATCTTCGGAATCGAGATTTTTAATCCATTAGAATACGGACGGGGTGTTGGTTTGTTGTTACCTATTTATGCGGCAACCCGGAATTTACTGTTCTTCCCTGTTTTCAGGTAATAGTCATACATACATGGCTACTTCTCGGCCAGATGTGCTTCCACAATACAACTACGTGCATGCCGAACAACCAGTACCTTCACCTGAAGAGACAGAAAGTATATTTGACCCATTTGAAGATGAATTTCCCATGCGTTTTGTCAACTTCAAACAACAATTCAAGGTATACCGAATTTTACAGAGTAATGCTCATACACAGATCTTGGAACCAGCCGGTGCTGCTTCTGATAGCCCTGTTCTCAGGGTTCACGACAACGATATGGAAATGGAGTGTGCACTTAAGGTTTTATCGAAAAGACAGATTCTAAATCGTGGATGGAAATCTGTGGAACAGACAAATCAAGAAGCTCGCATTTTGGTATGATTGTAAATTTCATTTGGCATTCAGTATTTTAGAGAAAGCTAAATCATACATTTGTTGTAGACTTCATTTCTTCATGGCAAAATTCAACAAAGTTATTTCTAGGTAAGTGTTCATAAACATCATTCTAAAACTCATCGTGAAATAGCCATGGAATATTTGCCCGGGGGAGAACTTTACCATCTATGGAAAAAACTACGTATAGCTTCAGACTCATTGATTCGTTTTTTTGCAGCACAAGTTGCTGTGGCTCTTGGTAACTTGAAAAATAACAATAATACGCTATTTCAGATTACCTACACTCAAAGTATATAGTACATCGCGATCTAAAAGTATATATCAACCGTAACGCTCACGAATAAAGTATTTAAAGATGGAAAACCTAATGTTTGACTCTGGAGGTTATTTGAAGTTAATCGACTTTGGAGCATCAAAAGAAATGAACTCGCATCCGTTTGACCGGACATGGACCATATGTGGTACGCTGGCCTATTGTGCTCCCGAAATGCTTAATGGAAACGGATACGATTATATGGTGGATTGGTGGGCTTTGGGTATCATGTGTTATGCCTTGTCTTGTGGGGCTTATCCAGTTGCACCAGGTCGCGATCATCGAGATATGAGGGAGAGTATAAACAGGCACCGTTATGTGGCTCCCGCTCACGTTTCAACCAATCTGGAACAAATCATTTTGAAGGTGAGTTTGCAACATTTTTCACCATTCTGCAAGAATGAACAATTTCATATACCCTCATCCGGGTAATATGTTCACAGAATTACGAATAACACCCGTGGTGGCTGAGATCGAATGTTTGAATAAACATTGCCTATTACGTAAAGCAGTGACAAGTTCGATATTCAAAATACTGCCACCCGAAAACGCAACGAACAATCGGAGGTAGTATTTTATATATATACGCCTGAGTTCAGACTATGTACCCAGGAAATCAAGAAATGATGATCCTAATATGAAGAAAAATTCCATGATTATCTTGTGATACGATGCTGCCAGGCTGTCCAGGAAAAGACAGATCAATTTCATTGGGCAGGACTTGGAATGGCCGAAGTCTGACTCGAAGGGCAACGAGGTGGTGTGTGAAAACTGAAATCACTGGGGGGTGGGGGTCGGTGTCCAGTTCATGGGATCCTACACCCTTTTGACGTCGTCCAACGTCCAAGCCACGCGATACACCTTGAAGCCCCATTGAGTCGGTATCCAATACCACAAACAGGAATATGTGGGTATCCGTTGGTTCGTGTGGCTCTTCTTGGTTAGCTTGGAATCACGGGATTTTAGTTAACTTTTCTCGGTGAACTGCTAGTGGTTCCATAACTCGGATTTTGGCTTTCCGTCTTCTCTTTTTGGTGGAAAATTCCATTCGCCACGGGAAAGGAGTGAGTAAGGCTTCATCAATAGTGGTTATTTGGGATGCTGGGTCGTGGAGGAACAAGTTGAGATCCGCCACGGAACGATGACCAACTACAAGCTGAGACCCGTAGTCTCGACAATACTGCGACTATCATAAAATAAGACACAGGAGGAATACCGTCATGAACTTCTTACTGAATTAAGGTTTATCTAAAGCTTACAAACAACTAAGGATGTTTGAATAATTATGACTTCTAACCGAACACAGTAGAAAAGAACTCATCAATCGTGATCCATGGCTCGTAATACAGTTGTCCTGAGAAAAGCTACAAAGGAGGTCTGATTTTTATAACCGTTTATATAGAATTTGGAAAATGAAAACGTCTGTTAAAATCTTCAAAATGTGTAATCCAATAATTCTATTGGGAAACATTTTTAAGTTGGGTATTTCGCATCAAGTCAGGCAATTTTCTTGGAAGAATTTATCACTGAAGGACGCGAAATTTTCCTCTTCCCGCGGTTCGTATTTCAACGGGGAATCAGATCACATATAGGGAAATAACTATCAAGTCTATTCACCAATATGCCAAAAATGAATATTACTTATTGATCAGCATATACAGTATGAATGGATAATATGAAACCGCCTAAATCAAAAGTGGTATGACTATGCCACAAATACCTAAAACGTGATCTGAGAAATTTCACAGCATGAGCCATTCCATGTTTTTATAAGGTACCGATAAACGAAATAAGGGATCATCAAGCTATTTATCACCCTTACATGGATACTACGAAAATAAAGATGGCCTGGTGGTGTAAAAAGAGAATTGATGAGCTTGGTTGACGTAATGCCAATCACTAAAATCTCCACAGTGCAGCAATGGAAAAATATGCGCCTTAAATCAGTGAGATTTTACCTACTAAGCTTTCATAACCCCAGGCAGTTAGCTTAGTTTTCGACAATTGGAGAAGATATCAGTGGGTGGTAGCTTATAAACCATAACAGGTTGAGCATATTAAACTTTCTACACACAAAGGAAGCAAGTCTTTCCAAATGTTAAAAATTGTAATATAGATCATAGGGTTAAATGATTGATTAGTGAATCTATGCTTTTTAATCAAGGACAATTTATTATAAACCATTAGCACATAGTTGCTCGGCTCAAAAAGCAATAATCATGACGTTTTAATCTCGCCTACACTAAACGAGAATAAATCTGACAGTGATGAAAGATGCCAATGTGCTATAAAACTAAGTTCCATCTGAATTCGATCCACCGATACAACGTCGTATAATCATGTGACCTGTTTTAAGCACCAACTCAAACAAGCTTTATGCAAAGGTAAAGTGCTTGTTTCGCACTGGGAACCCCGAAGTGCAAGATCCAGTTACCGAATTTCATCATGTGAAGGTTTGCATCAGGGAAATGGCTCTGATCTGACAGGTCGATAACACAAAGCAAGCAAAATGGGGGCGGTTGGATTTATACGAAACCAAAACTACTTAGCACTCTGGCCTATTTTATCTGAAACACTCATGTAACCCATGTGTTCCCTCTAGGTAAAGATGATTAGTATATCGGATTACATATACAAAACAACATATGAGGGCACTATGGCTCAGTCCGTAAAAGACATTCATCAAGATGGCTACAGTCATTTGAGCCTCCTGTCAAACGTATTCCAGGAGCAAGCCCAGTGGTGAGGAAAATGTGATGTAAAAATGGTGGAAGCCCAACATAATATAGACATAGATTTTTGCGATTTGTAAAGTAATATTCATCAGGCTGCAACTCTAAAGGCAAACGATGCATCTGTACCCCGAACTGACGAAAAGGAGAACAAAATATATGTCACGAGTGCGTTCGGGGTCAAGCATCTTTGATCACTGCGTTCGGATTTCGGTAGTGGTAGCACCTCAAGTTCAAGAAGCTGCCGTCCCCACAAAACTGCTTTTTCATTGGTCTAAACCAATCGTTAAAATCTCATTTGCAGCTTCAAGCTGTTACTGGAATGGGGCAACGGCAACACACCGGTGAGCGTTTTATAGACCGGATAAACCATGTGAGGATAGTCGGGTTACTCGGAACACAATAGGTTGCAGTTTCGCCCATGAATACCAACCAGTTCCGGTAAGTGAATGAAATCATACTCGGTACAAAAGTCAAGCGTTCAAAATTAAGGAAAACGTTTCAGAACCATATCGGTAAAATATTGTACAAATCGACGGGTAGAACACAAACTTCAGAATACAAATGATATGCATATTTAAATGCACAATATAAACGTATTTAAATGCCTCATTGTTTTACGGTGGATAAGAATGACTTGAGCTCAGGAATACGATGTACCACGCTGCTGTTTTCCCGAGTACCTATAGGTTTTGCAAAACTGGTTACCTTAGGAGCTAAGAAATAAATACAGCATTCAAGTCCAGGTATTTTGCCAGTGAAATATGAGCTAGAATTATATATGCCGAGGAATACAAATGGTTTTATATAGTTATTGAACCGAATATTTCAGGTTTAAAAACAATCCAATTTGCAGCGAAGATTTTGCATTTCCGCAGCATCCTTTAAAGTCAGCAATTTGTGGTTTTCACTGAATAAAGATTAACAAACGGTTCATTATTAGCATTAGAAATTCTGCAAATCGAAAGAAATACCGCGACTTGATGCTTGAAATGAAGCATCCTATTCTGCAATTTTCGAAACATTTGGTTTTAAGGTGAATCCGAAATCTGTGCCTGCGAACTTGGAAGCAACGGGAAAATATATCAACCACATTGTTTCAGTACCTTCAGACAGATTTACCATATAACGATTGCTGGAATGGGAACTGAATATTGACTCATACCTTTCGTACTACTCATCTTTAGTTATGGTAAAAACTCCTAATTAATTAGTAGCAAAATTTTTTACATTTACTAAAGTTGAATGCCATCTACGAAAAATAACGGTCCCAAAAACGAATTGGTTGCTATACGCAATAAGATGAATTATTGAAAGAATGATGAGCATTATTCACTACTGGGTAGTGTCATCTAAGTGGGATCAGGCACTTTAAACCCGATATCAACAATTTTTTTTATGCAAGTTATGTATTTCATCATGAATAGTCTGATGTAAAAACAGTGCCACACCATCATTATTTTATCACTCATTTTTTAAATCGAATGCTGCATCTGATAACGAATAGATTACACGATCGATATTTGGATTTTCAACTACCCAGTGAATACGCATTTTATATTTTTCTTTCAATGAAGTTGTTGCGCAAAGATCCGCAAAGGAGGACGGGAGGAATAAGCATGCTCAGTAGACTAAACTTTTTCGCTGGACTGATCGATTTCTACAAAGTGGAACTTCGTCAGGTGAGTGTATTCTAATACTTTCGGAAAATGGTCCTACTTACATTTATGACACACATAGGCGGTGCTGTCCCGGTGGTAACGTCACTCCGACCGATGTGTGCTCGAATTCCACCACCACCGCCTGAATTTAATCATTGTGTCGTATGGCAGCCGTTTGACTGACCGATTCCCCTTCCCGAAAATTGCATCATTATTTATTCAATAAAACGAAGTAAAATGAAAACAGAAATTTCAGGTGAACAATTATTTTCAGTAATTCCAACCTATGCCGTTATAATCGACGTAGGGATGAAACCTAGGGGTTGGGAGCATAACATTAAATTATCCACGAATCCTACACTCCTCCCACTTCACACACATATTGACGCAAGCACCGGTCACGCGATCAAAGTGACATAACTGCAGATCCCGGCAGCACAGAACTGATGGCGTGATTTGCAACGGACAGATACCTAGTGATCCACTTCACATATTTTAATGTTATCCACCACACACCCCGGATTTTATTCTTACATATATTGAAACGATGTACTTTTGAATTACTGATAACAATTATTCGCTTGAAATTGTGTCCTGTATCACTGCGTTCGTTGCACATCACAACAACAGTTCTACGCTGTCGGGATTTGCAGTTGTCACTTTGGTCGTGCGACCCAGTTTAGTGCTCTCTGTGTCGATAGTTTACTTCACATGCCAATTACTCAAGAACCTTAGAAATAGCAGCGTAAGTGTGCGACACTGAACGTGACTTTTACCGTTCCTTTCAATCGTCTGATGGGGCTTTCAGTGGCAACCCCACACCAAATAAGAAGATTGATAAAAAAATTCTTATTTGCAAGCCTATTACATTGTCGAATGAAACAGTTAATGTAAGATAAGTCTAAGTTCATCTTGCAATACTTCTTTTGGAACAATTCTCGGAGCGCTAGGTGCATGAACTCTTACCAGATTTATCTTCAGTTCATTCAACACAAAACTGTGAAAATCCGCGTATCGGTCACTCATTTCTTTTCCTTACGGTGCATCCGACGTTGTGTGGATCTATCACATCTTCTAAGGAACACCTAAGAAGAATATGCAATCATCTGCACCTAGCTCATGTGTAAATTTGACGGTTTCATACTTGGAGTTAAACTTATCTAGCAGGGGATCCAGTTCACAATTGGAGGCAGCTTTGTGAAACACCGTCCACAAAACGATAATATTTATGTAGATTATTCATGATATCTTTCAACTGGTTTGTCTCTAGTATCACCGTCCATAAATCTGTTAATTAGTCTCAGTGGTGATCAACATTGTTACTCCGGCGCTACATCGGTCCATTGAAAAGAAATCACACGTTTTATGAACACCGAACCGAGAGTTTAGGTAGTGCTTAAACTCATGTCTATATCAATCATATGTTTTATGATGAGCTGGATGTTCTCAACTAAGGTTACAATTGTGAAAAAATGATGTGATATCCACGGGTGGTCACTGAATATGGTGTGTTGATATGCCACGTTGCATCAACCAACTGAAGTACTCTCTTTCGATGGTTCCTTGGATTAGGGTTAAAGGAGTTCGGTCAGTCAATGAGCTTCAGCACGGTATAGTGAAGTTGTCATGGATCGGGAGGTTTAACTTTATGAACTTATGGCACACCGTATAGCCTCAGAATGCATAAACCGGCATGTATTGTGCGTTCATAGAGCTTACTGCTTGATTGAACCCGTCTGGTGTGCTGTCATTTTCTAGCGATGTGATTGTAAAATGATCCTCTGTGGAAGTGGAAGTTATTACATTACCGGTATAACCCTTTCAATCCCCATTTGTTTATCTGAGCGACTAAGTATTATATCTTTATTAGGGGTTAGTGGGCGCAGTTGTGTGGGACTGAGTTCCGTGTTATTGATAGCAAGCAATAAACGAAGTTAATTTGAAAGTTTCATTCTCTGATCGAACTAGGTACTGGATGTTGTGTCGGGTTTGCAAGTGGTAGCTCCAAATCAGCGTAATGCATTCTTATTTCTTTCTGGAAAATAAAACCCTGCTGCCTAATAATAGAACCAGAAAATGCGTCTGGTTTAGATTCATACTGGATAGGCTGTGGGTGCACCTCTCAATTTGGTTGATAAAGGTGCATTGCGATTTCTGTTAGTCCGATGTTTGCCTTTCGATTCAGCTACGCTTTGCACATAATTGAGACATTAAATTTTCAAGTGCTTATGCAAACAGACCACCAACTGTTAATGCTGTGATATATTCCGGCCATACTCTGTCACCTTAGGGAGAATAGAGTCACATTCATTCGAACCCAGATACCGTGGCATCTTTGGATAAATTCGATGACGAAGTAAAACCTTTCGGCAGCACTGAACTGATCCCAAGATAGTGATCCATTCAACATATTCTAATGTTGTCCTCCCAACCCCTTAGTTTGTTGTCCTCAAATTGTAACGACAAAATCCTAACCTATCCAACACATGTTTATCTAAAAGTGTTGGACATTGAAATAGTTCACAAGTCAATTAGGATCATTTAATTGCCCAGTTTTCTATTCTGTTACCTTTTAATTAATTTCTGGTTTTGTCTAAATGAATTATTCTCCTGTCTGGTATCATGTAACCATTATCAAATAAGCTTTTGCTCATTTGTTTAATATTAGGAAAGCAAAAAGGCAAAACAGAATCTGCTTCTTTTATATTTGTTGTTCGTGTACGCACTAAAGTAGATTTATGAAAAAAGCATTTGAAACGTCATACTTGTTGTTTGAAATTCGTTTTCTTCTTTGGTTTTGCCTTTAAGTACGACCCGCGAGCTTTTTATACAGGTGCTGACATTGTCAAGTTGCCCGATGGGCCATTGAAGCGATGGATATTGGACTATCAGACAGAACCAGACAAACCGGAAGAATTCTACATCCGAGGTCGAGGGGCTGATATAAGCATTGTTCGTTCA